TCTTCTAAGGTACAATGATAGTTTCAGTTACACACACACATATATATATATATACATAGGTAGGTGTTGCCTTTTTTGGCATTAATAATTATTTTTGGTCATTAAGAGAAGTAAAAGATGAAGTTAAATGGGACATGCTACCGAATTAAGGCTCACTAATATCCTAGCTTTAAATTTCTTTGTATATTTAAAATTGATTGATAGTAATACAATGACATCTTAGTTTAACAGACCATTTGAGAGGTAAGGGATGTCTTATTTTTGACTGTCCATTAAATCAAAGATAACAAAGACAGTGATAGGAAAATTTTATCCATTAAATCCAAAGTCATTTGTTACTGAAGTCTAAATTGAAATTTCATCTAGTTTTGAATGAATATTCTAAAAATATTTTTAAAAAGAACCAAACAGCCTGTGTAACTCCTGTAGTATAAATATGCTTGCAAATGATGTGCTAAATAAGGCAATCTTACAGTACAAGCCTATGCATGTCGACTGATAAAAAACCCTCCAATGTCCAGGAGAATATATTACAATTAATCACTTTGTAGACTGAAAATATATTGATGAGAAACTTTCAATTGTTTATAGGAAGAAAAGTTATTGCTAGAACAAAAACTTAGCAGAACAGAGGAGGACCTTACAAGACAGCTGAATTATACACAGCAGGTAAGAGCAAAGCTTCAGTATGCCCCAATTTAGAGAAAACCAATATAAATATATTTAGCTATTTCAGCTGTTTTATCAAGAGTTTCTAACTATAAAGCTAATGGAACATATATTGCTGAACCTCTGTATAGAAATATTTTTTTTATCAGAATAGCAAATAATAGCAAAATTAACAAAATGTTATTATATTTTGAAGAATAACAAATTAATTGTAACATAAGCTTAAGTGGGTGAAAGCCTAACTCATTGGAGGAAATTCATGTTTTAATATGCTACAAAACTTTTTTTTTTAAAGAAAACAATTTAGATTAGTATAGGATTGTGAAGGTATGCAGAACAATATTTATATTGCTATATGTTTTAAATAGACAAATAAGACATTATGACTGTGGTCCTTTAATAAAACTTTGTTAGAGTTAAATTCTAGGATTATATGAAACCCTAGTGACTATGCTTTTTTCTCTTAGGCCTTGTCAGAAAAGAGCAGAGAACTAGATAATTTAAAAAGCGAATGGGCCTCCAAGATAGCATCATTGAACAGCAAACACACTCAGGAATTATCAAATGAGAAGGAAAAAACTCTGCAGGTATATAAATAATACAGTGTATAAAACAAATGATTCCTTTTAAAATTAAGAATTACTAAAACACTTTCTATTTTTCATAGGCACAAGCACATTATCAGCAACAGAATGAGCAACAGAAAAGAGACTTGGAAAACTTGCATCAGAAAACTGTCCAGCAACTGCAGAACAGGCTGAAGGAGCTGGAACTTGCTAACAAAGACTTAATGGAAAGGAGATACAAAGGCGATTCCACAGTCAGGGAACTTAAAGCAAAATTATCAAGTGCAGAAGATGTATGTAACATTTGCCAATTTGTCTATTTAAAGATCTGATTTTCACGACTTACCGTAACAATTTCTAGTTGTATACTTTACAAGCAATTAAAAATACAGCAAATATCCCACGTTATAATAGGTGAATGTAATGCAGTTATATGATCTAAACAATTGTTGCAGTGTATACTTACTTTTTGAATCAAGCTTAAATCTTTAAAATACTTTAGAATGCTTTATTTTCCCAATCGATAAGGAATGCCAGAGAATGAAGCAAGAAGTTCTATCCTTACGTCGGGAGAATACTACCTTAGATGCTGAATGCCATGAAAAAGAGAAGCAAGTTAATCAGCTGCAGATGCGAGTTGCTGTTTTGGAACAAGAGATCAAAGATAAGGACCAGCTTGTTGCTAGGACAAAAGAAGTATTAGAAGCAACACAAGAGCAAAAGGTTCCTAGCATTTTCCCCCATAGTACCATTATAACAAACGTAGTCATTAAAGTTCATTATGATCTAAAATGTTATGTTACGTGTTTGGCTTAAGTGTACG